CCCCCCCGTTTGTTGTCGGTCGGTTGCGTCGCGCGCCCGAAAGACTCCTTTGCGGGGTCGATTAAAACGACTCGAATCGAGCGAGCGAACGTTGCGCAGAAGTGGGACGGCTGAGGTAAACACACCTGCCGGCCCTCCCCGGGCCCGGCCGCCCCGTGGATATCTCTAGCATTCTTCTTCTTCCGCAACGTGTAGTCGCCGCGCTGCGGCTTCGTATCGAGTGGTGCGCATCTCTTCGCTTCTGTTTCTCCTCCCCTCCGCCCCTTCGCCCCGCCGTGTCCGAACGGCGGGACGGGGCCGTACGCTGCTGTCCGTACGCCCCGTTGGCGTGTCCACCTGCTTCACAGTCCCTACGTCGGGGCGGGGCGTAGTGTTGTACACTGGACGGCTTCTTTTCTTTTTCGCTGATGCGATTTTGGATCCGTAGTGCGTCCTGAGAGAGTCCCATCTCACAACACCTCATGTCACGGTCACGTTCGACCATTGTGGAGTAGTACACCATAAATTATAATCATATTAAATTCAAACTGCTTCAAACTATATAGATCAAATCAAATTAGAACAGTTCTGACAAATTTAAAATCATTCTAAAAAATTATGATTGAGATTAATTTCCACATTTTGAAACTTGGTTCTACTTTGTTATACTATGTTCTACTTTGTTTCACTTTGTACCACTTTGTTCCACTTTGTTTCCACTCTTCTCTTGTTCGGACTAACCCAGACCACTTCAGACCAAAAGTTATTCGTAGTCCTACATTTTAATTCAGAGTAATTCGTCACAATCTGTACACCTAATTCAGAGTTGTTTACGCCCCGGTCACGCTTCGCTTCTCACACGCCATGTAGGATGGGTGGCCTAACCGCCGCTCGGCAGGCGCGCGCGCTGCGATGTGCGGCCGGGGGGCCGGGGCGAAACCGAAACCATAGGTCCGCTCCTCTCCAAACCTTGACACGTCTCTAACGCCCCTGTCTTTCTTTGTCCCGCAGTCGTTCTTCGGCCGCTCGTACAACAACCTGGGCTCCATCACCGAGTGCAAGAACCAGGGCGCGTGCGTCATCAACAAGAAGAACCGCACGTCGTGCAAGGCGTGCCGCCTGCGCAAGTGCCTGCTGGTGGGCATGTCCAAGAGCGGGTCGCGCTACGGCCGCCGCTCCAACTGGTTCAAGATCCACTGCCTGCTGCAGGAGCAGCAACAGCAGCAGCAGCAACAACAGCAGCAGCAGTCGGGGCAGCAGGCATCGCCCGGGTCCGACCACAAGAGCCCGCCCCCGCAGCTAGGTTCGTACTCGCGAGTGAACACGGCGGGGTGGGGTGGGGCGGTGCGGGTGGGGCGGCGCCGTACGAGTCGCGGCCCGCCGTCGTATCTCGTGGCGAGTAATCGCTGCCGAAGCGCGTATCTGCCGGTCATCGGGGTGAATACGGCATCTGCCGGTGCTGCGCCGGGCCCAGGGGCCGCGGGCCGGGCCGGGCGAGCGCGGCCTGCACCTCACGTGACCCCCGGCGCTGCCCGCGCGGCCCAAGCAGCCCCTGCTGAGTCTGCTTACCCCCATTTTCATTCGAACAGGACCGCGGCGCAGGTGGCGCGGCGGGACACCACCACCGGCAGCAGGAGGAGGGCCTCCCTCCTCCCACGCGGGTGCTCACGACGACGGCGGCGTCCTCTTGCCGGGCTCTCTAAAGGGAATCCGCTCACCTCGTATCTTTCCGCTAACTTCCGCGCACGGAATTCCCTCGCGGAGTGGGGTCGGAGGGCAGGTGCACGCCGCGCCCCGCCCCGCCCCGTGCCTCGGCGTGAAGCTTCCATTCCATCCGCCGCTGAACCGATTTATGCCGTGCCGTACCGCCGCGCCGCCGTAGCGGGACCGGAATAACTCTCCGACCCAACGCGCACCGCTCAATAATCGTTCATTATTTCAGGACGATCCCAAGGGTGTAATTTTGTGCAGCGCTAGTCGCCCTGCCTTCTTCTTCCTAATTAACGCGGCCTGAACAAATGCTGTGCCGGAGAGGAGGTGGCTCAGCCCGGGGTGGGGGGGTTGCCGTGCCGCTATTGAGGTCGCGTCCGCGAGGGTCCCGCCCGCCCGCGCCCCCGCTGCTGCAGGCGGGAGCGCGACGAGGCGCCGCCGCCGCGCACGCAGCCCGCGCGCCGCCTTGCCTTGCCCAATGGCCGAGCCGGCGGAGCCATCCGACTTGGACACAATGCAAATCTGTGCGCGCGCGGCGCTATGCGGACTCGCTATGTTAATTATGTGATGGCCTCAAACAAGCACTGCGCCTCGGCGCGTTAGCTCCGCGCCGTGTGGCTGGTTATGTTACGGACGTTATGCGCCCCGCGCCTCGTCCCGCCCCGCCGGCCCCGCCTCCCCAAACTTGTTCTGGGGGTACGCTGCGCGGCCGCGGCCCGCGGGGCGCCCCCTCGAGGACGCCACACACGGCGATCGCTGCTGACGACCCCGTTCTGTCTGCCCGCAGGTCTGCTGGGCCCGCACGCGCTGCAGCAGGTGCTGTCGCGCGCCTCCACCAAGGAGGACCTGCTCATGCTGGGCGGCATGGGCCTGGACGACTACAAGCACGCCGCGTCCTCGCCCAGCGGCTCCTCGCCCGAGTCGCACAACTCTGACACGTCCGTGGAGGTGGGCGACGCCCGCCTCGGCCTCCACCGCGGGCCTCTGCACGGCCACGGCCACGGCCTGGGACTGGGCTCGCTGGTGGCGCCCTTCCCGTCGCGGCCCGGCGGCCCCCACGGCCCCCACGGGCCGCCGCCGCCCGCGCCGCACCCCAGCCACCCGCAGCACGCGGCGCACGCGGCGCAGGCCAAGGAGCTGCTGCTGCACCAGTCGCTGCAGTCGCTGCCCTTCATGCTGCCGCACCCCGCCTTCCTGCAGCCGCCCTGCTCCTTCATGTTCCCGCCGGGCTGCCTGCCGCGCGCCTTCAACAACAACAATAATAACAACAACAATAACAACAGCCCCGCCTTCAACAACAATAACAACGAGACCCTCGAGTACAGCAAGCGCTTCTACCTGGACTCCATCCTCCAGCAGCACCGCCCGCCCTTCCGCGACCACTCGGACCACGACGACGAGGAGGACTCGGCCCGCCACCGGCGGCCCAAGGTGGCCGCCCCCGCCCCCGTCGACGACCACCCCATGGACCTGTCCGTCCGGAGCGGCGGCGACGCCCCGCCCGGCGACCGCGACGCGGACGCGTGCTCGACGGTGAGCGGTGCCGACGACGTCGACGAGCTCCACCACGGGCGACGGCGGCCTCCCAGCGACGCGGGGGGGCTGGCTGACGACGACCGCAGCCTCAGCGGCCACAGCGAGGCGGCCGACCGGGATGACGAGGACGAGGAAGTGGATGTCGAGGTGACGCGCGCGCCCGAGAGGACATTCCGAGTCATTCCCCTGGACCTGTCAGCCAGGTCCTAGCGCACACCGCGCGCCAAGAGGACTGTGAGAGGACTTTTTGTCACGTTTTCCCTCCATTGAGGCGGTTCGGAGCAAGGGCTGGAGATAGACGAGGGACGATCGAAAGGTAAAAGTGGTGTTGAAGGAGACGTCTTCCCACCAAGCGACTGTTCTGTGATGTGCTGTGCAATGTGCTCTCTCCTATACTGTAGATAACTCGAATAGGTCGATCTTTGACAAACTTTTGTTCAGTTTCGTTTACCGAAACTCCAGCCCTAGTTTCTTTAGTTTCGTGACGGATTCTGTGATGTGCGAATCATATTCTAGTGTAAGTCGTCGGTGACCTAGAGATACGTTTATACGATTACCGCAAAAATTTAAAGTGAAAATGTTTATTTTTTGAAATTGTTGACCCACCGCTACTACTACCCAGGTGTGAACTTTCTTAGCAATTAATACTTTTCCGTCATTGGTGATAGGAACAGGAGTCGGGCGTTGATTCTTGTGTGCGCCAAAGATAATAAAAGGTATTGCTATTAAGGTTTGCTGAAACTTAAAATTGGTATCAGAGTAAAGTGTAGAAATCTCGTTTGCTCTGCACACAAATATTGTACATAAGGGCGCGAAATACCAAAGATACCTAGAATCTTCAGTGAGTACTATTCAGGCTACTAGTACTCATCATTATAAAACATCATTTATAATTTGAGTTTGTATAATAATTTATTGATATTATAGGGTCAGTAATGGTATTAAAGTCTTGAACCAGATGAAACTGGTAGTGAGATTTGTAATTGCTTAAGATTTTCTCCTTTCCCTGAATTTTCTGCTAAGATGGTCTTAGTCTGGGTTGCAAAGCTATTGTGATAGTATTTTAAATGAAGATGAGATTGTCTGTCAAGTCTTGAATCTATTTTGTGCAATTAAAGAGACAACAGAGGTTCTGTCCTTGTGTTGGCCTAGTTATTCCTTTGTCTTTGTGCAAGAACTTGTGTTCAGTTACCAACGTTAAAAGCATTGGTGTATTTATTTATGTTTCTGTGTATACTGTTTTTGGATCATTTGATACTTCTTATTTTGGGATAGTGATTTTTTTATGTAATGTTTACAGTCACAATAAAGTGTTACCAAAGTACACTCTACATGTTACATTACTCTTTTTACCCTCTGCCTTGTTCAATGAAAAACAAATCAACAAAATTGGAGCCGGAATAATCACGAACTGGATGTGGTACCTATGAGCTGTGCAACGGGCATGCTTACTCAAAACCGGGCCAGAGGGTAGGAAAAACCACTCTACTCAACACGGGCCAGAGGTAAAGAGGGGATTTTGTTTTACATCTTCATGTGCGCTGCATTGGAGTAGAGTGGGTTGCCTACTCAATGAAAAGAACGGCCTGGGTATCATCCAGTAAGGACGTCCATCATTCGCCATTACGAACCTGCCAAGTTCAACAAGGCAAGGCTAAACAGGCAAGTTCAGCCTATGGAAACTCTCATAGCGCCTACTGGGTAGGCAATATCTTGTATGCAGTGCATGCGTGTACTGCGGGGTAGCCTACCCCGACTCTCGCAGGCGCTAAGCTCCAGTTATTTGCTGAATGAAACTGAGAAAAACGGGCGCACTTTCTGGGCGATGTGTTATGGTATTCTTCGCATCGCATAATGTGCAAGGAAGCGAACGTGGGAATCTGGAGAATCTCGTGGTGCGTTTGTGTGTGGCGTCGCGGGGCGAGAAAGTCGCGTACCAGTGTGTACAGTACAAGTGCAAACCAATCGGGGAGGGGAGGAGGCGGGAGGCGCACCGATACTATACCCGGTCCGAGTCGAGCAGAGCCGAGTCGGGGGGGCACCGGCCGGGGCTGGGCAGAGTAAGTAATTAGAGGGAAGGAATTAAAAATCGAAACGCATCTTCGCCTCGCAGCCAATTAACGGGGCGGCGAGAACGACAGGGGGCTATGCTTGATGCGACGAGGCGTTACGCGTCAGCCAAACGGGAATGTGCCGAACAGCAGTTCCAGCGGTGTGGTCGCCGGCCATATAGTCGAGAACAGCCGAAAAGGGAGTCAAAATGTAGCGTCAGCAGCAGAGCTCTAAGCTATTGGCGCTGCTGGGCCCGGCCAGCCGCGTATGGACGAGTGAGGCGGGCAGCGTGTTCGAGACACGAAAGCTCCCCCGGCCCGCTCCCCCCGCTCCCCCCTTTCTCCTCCTAGATGCAATGCCTGTTATTGCACCCCGCAGTATGAATCGCTTTTCCCCCCAGTGATTGCTGCCGATAGCAGCGCCGCATGCTCGCACACACGGGAGCCCCCTACCTGCTCAGGGGGCACGACCCTCGTCCAGCAGCCTAGTCGCGACAACCGTGGTTGTACTACGTACCACTACGTACCTGCTACGTACCACTACGAACGTACAGCGAGGCATTGTTAGCCGGGCATACCCCGGTGTGCCACCGCCGCCGCACACTGCCAAACATCCTGCTGGCGCACTCCCATCACATCACCCACCGTCGTGCGGTCGCGGTCCGCCGCGCGGGACGAAATTCGGAGTAGTACGACATGGCGATCTGCTCGTCGGCGGCGTCCCGCTGCTGCTGCCAGCCCTGCGCCAGCAGCTCTGCCGGGCCCGATCCGCTTTTTGGCCGCAGGCGCCCCAGAGAGTAATTAGTCGAAAATATTGTCTCGCAGCGAGCCCGGTCCGCTGCTGCTGCCGCTCCGCGGCTGTCGGTCATTAGTTATTATTTACCGGCACGGGCCGCAATGTGTTCGAAGAACTGGCGCGATCGCCCGGCCGTGCCCCGACGTTACTATACAAACAACACGTCAAAGACTCGACTCGTCTTGACGGGCTGCAGGTGAGTCCGTTTGGTGCGGGGCCACATTGGTGTTGGCTGGGGCTGGGGCCGCAGCCCCCACAGTCCCGCAGACGCCTACTGGGCTGGGCGATTCTGCCTCAAACGGGCGACGAAAATCGTCGCTTGCTACGATCAACCTGAAATTTCGTGGCTTTTGTTCGAGCGGATGTCATTGAAACCCCGACATCTTACTGAAAAGTCATATAAGCCCGCCCCCCCCCCCCCCCCTCTCTCCCTCTCTCCCCAACAACTGCCACATCTGATTTTAGTCAAGAGGAAAGGCGTAAATGACGGCTCCGGCTCGTATCACTTGTCATCAAATTTCTACTACAAAATAGTAGTGTTTTGAATGCTCAGAATTACCTGAATTACCAGAATTACCGCCACAGCCCCAATGCGCCCTGGGGCTTCCCTTGGTGCGTTCCCTTCTCGTCCGGCGGTGGTGACGGCATTTCGTCCGGTCCGCAAGACACGGCTCAGCGGCTCCATCCATCCGCTATCCGCTGCGGGCTCAAACAACCTTGAACGCGGCGTTCGGCTTCCTTTCCCTTCCGGTCCCGTGCGCGAAGCGTTTGAAATGCCGCGGCACTCTGCTGGTACTCCACTTGTTTTGACAACCTTCCCTCACCTTCAGCGCGACAGTTTGATACCCTATCTCCGCTAAAGATCCAACGACCCCACAGTTGTGTGCGTCGACTTTGGAACATGCCGCGGACCTCTTCGTTTCTACCGAGTACAGTGTGATCGCCGTCGTTTCGATTTTCGCGTTGCAGCTTCTCATAGTAGTGTTAATCAGGTGATCTGATCACATCATCCACATCCCCCAACATGGCCGGTCCGTTGCCTGTTGGTCTCCCGTCCGGCTCAAATAATGACAATGGCAGGGGAAACGGGCTACTTTTATACTTCCATCACTATTCATTTTATTCTCAAAAGGTTCGTGAGTTTTTCTTCCAGTTTTTGGCTCTATGCCACGTCTCGTGACCAGCTTTAGGTGGAACTGCCCTTGGTTCTGGAGGTTAGGTTCCTCAGTTATTATTTGTTGTTTACCATGAAAAAATATTGGCAAGCGTTCTAACCCTCTCCTTGCTCCTTGCCTTTTTCCTTTCCTGTTCAATTACTGATTTGTTCATGTTCCTTGGGAAAAATTATCCCCAAACTCACCCAGAAGTTGCTTGTCACAGCTCTGCTATGGTAATGGCAAAATTTGCCCTTACTTCTTGGTTTACTTGAAGACTACAGTCTGTCATTGTTGTAGAAATAATAATAATATGATTGTCAGCATCAGTCTTGAAATAACTGTGTTTATGGTAATGATTTTTATTCTTTTATAGGTTGTAATGGCCCTACATGAAAAGAAACTTCCATTCAAAACACATTTAGTTAATGTCCACAAAGGTGAACAATATGATCCGTGGTTTATGGAAATAAATCCTAAAGGAGATGTTCCTGTCTTGAAAGATGGTGTTAAAATTATACCTGATTCCGGCAGAATTCTAGATTATTTAGAAGACAACTTCACAAATGGTAAAATGAATTTCCGTTTATCCAATGTACTTTTTTTTTTAACAAATAGTTTCCTAAGACATGCATTCTTCTATCAGGGAGAACCCCCCCACTCATTCCTAAAGATCATGGGATTGAGGTTCGTCAACGAGTTCTACACTTTCGAACTTTGTTGGATCAATTGCCAGTCAACCACATTACTGCCGGTTCAATTTATCATACTGATCTAATTAGCAATCCAAAACTACCGTTTGTATCTCCATTTCGTCATATGTTAAGAGGTGACTTTCTCTCTGAATGATTTTATCTGTGTTAATTTTCAATCTGCTATAAACTTTTGCTTCTTATGATTTTAATCTATGATTGCAGTTTCCGAGATAAATCAATCAAATTATATGCGGAAGCATGCAGAAAACAATCCTAAATTTCGTGAAATACTCTTACAAAGAGCTGATCTTGTGGAAAAGAAACATGAGTCAATTGTCAATCGAGAAGAGTTCACTAAATGGTTGAACAGTGTAGAAACTGTCCTTGTTCAGGTAGAAGATGAACTAGCTTCTCACAGTACAGGTATGTATGTCCTAACAAAAATCCAGCAAACATTAATCATAGGAAAGTAATAGTGCTTTAAAATTTATGTATTGTAATAATTTTTCCCACAGAAAAAACAGATTGGTGGTTATGCAGTCCAGAATTCAGTATTGCAGATGTTGCACTTACAGTTCTTTTGGACCGGCTCTGTTGCTTGGGGCTTCAGGAACGCTTTTGGACTGGGGGGAAAAGTCCAAACCTTGACCTATATTTCAAAAGAGTTCAAAATCGTGATTCCTTTAAAAAAGCTGTTCCTTCTACATTGATACACTTGCAACTGTTATTAATGATGACTCCTCGTGTTGTTGGTGTTAGCACTTGCATTGTTGCTGCATTGGCTGTGTTAGTTGGTGGGTATTTTTATGTGAAAAGAAAATGATTGTGAACATTTACTCAAACCAAGTGCTTATTTATGCAATGCATTTTTTGCCCACATGTAGTGTGCTTTGCTTCTGTTGTATCTTTCCTTGATTTTACTTTCAAGTGTGGCTATGATTTTACCACTGCAGTTTGTTTGATGCCCCCTCATTTACAGCCCATTTCTATCACATGTTGTTGTGTACAGAACATAGCCATTTTTTAATAGTTGAGTTGTAATCCTGTTTAGATGTTGGTTCCTCATGTAATTGTTGGCTTTGGTCTTGTATCTATTTTTATTTATGATTTTAGTTGTAACCCAATCAAATACAAATAATCGCACTCTTTCCATACACTGCTTTTGAAAAAATTATGCATTTAATAAACTAAGGAACTGTTTTCTTTTTCCTCTCTACTAATTGTATAAGCCCAACATTGTTAAACTGTTACGCTATGAGGTATTAAATATTTTTAACAAGTTCTATGAATGTTCACTCATGTTTGGTAAGATAAAATTCATGTAGACTTCCTAAAATGTTCCTCTTCAATTTTCTTATGAATTTGTACAGCTGAAAAGTGTGCCTGTGTGTGCATAAATGATGGTTGCTTTTGTTTTGTTCATTTATTTATTGTTACTCGTTTAAATGTTCTCTTCTTTTTCTATTTATTCAAGGGATCAATCTATATTTGTATCGACATTTTGACGTTTGACCTTCAATTATATGTGTAAGCAACAAAATGGTAACCAGGCGGCTGTGATTTTTTTTAAAAATAGTCCTCAGGCTAGCCAGACTTGGTGTTGTTGTCAGAATGCTGTGATAGAGGTGGTGCTGTTGAACTGTTGTGTAACATTTTTCTTTATCAATTTTGTGGCTTTTGCGTTACATTTTAGGCACTCTTATGTGATCAATTACTGTATTGAGAGAATTTTAGTTAGATAAATATTTTCAGAAGGATTTTACTGTAGGAAATAGTTTTTCACACTTCTATTTTTGTTTAAAAATATGATTGCTGCATTGTGCACTACATTCGATTTGGTGCAGGGCATTGCCTCCATTGCTGGTGGTGGTTAACATTGACCATTTTATTTGTTGGTATATGCTGGTTTAGTTGTACTAACTATACCATTCCACTTCTCAGCGTTTGTTGAATAGTCACATGTTATGTGTTTGTACTTTAAATACCTCTCTTATAAGACTGTTCAAATGCTCAAGCACATGAAGGTTGCAGCTGAGTATAATAAAATAAAAGCGTATTATCCTGTAAATAATGAATAAAAATCTCTAATTTCTTACTCATTTGTTCATTACTTACTTACCCTTTCCCTGAGTGTTATGAGAGCAGAAGTATCTGGCATCTTTGAAAGTGCCTACAGCCCAGAGATTTTCCCCCTGGGAATAGGAGGGTTGCCAAACTCTCACACAACACAAAACGAGAACAAGAGCAGAACTACATCTTAACTATCCAGGGGTCCAGGCGCACTAAATTCCGAGAGATGTCTTTACTGTTCAATAATACAGTCCATTGTACTATATTTATTTATTTTAATAAAAACTTTGGAAACAATAACAGCTCTAATACCACCATAGTTAAGTCTGAAGTCTTGATTTTTTGAGCTCACTGAAAATATATACTTAATGAATTGAACTTAGGTTCAGAAGTGTAAAAACCAAAGTTTCCTTTGTACCTTGGCATGAATGAAAAATACACAACAAAGAGAAGGGCATTCAACGGTTTTATCTTTATGGGTAGTTTAAAATACTTTCAGAATTCGTGCAGATTTTTGAAACATTCATTTAGAAAAATAATAATTATGATTTTGCTTCTCCAATTACAATTACCTTAATAAAACAGTCTCAGCTCAATAACAAAAATATGAAAATAGGCTATATATGTCATCACCCTTTTATGTACATGTGCACATGCATACATGTCTACCCAATAAGTAAGGTACTATAAACTTGAGTTTACACAACAAAACTAAGAGAAAAAGAGACAGAACACAGCTTTCTTGGGTAGAACAGTAGAGAGCTTGTTTTGTTGAATAATTGCAAGATGATCAAAATTTGGTGTTCAAACACATCAATATCCATTTTAGTTTTTACACATCACCAGAGATTTAGAGGTGATTTGGGGATCATGAGCAACGACAAAATTACAATTACAACACAGAAACAAAATGTACATAGAACAACAGATAACACAACCACCGCATAGAGGGAAAACAATATGACAAACAAATAAATTAAAAGCTTTGAAAATTAATCACTATTCAACACTTCAGAAAGGAAAAATACACAACAGAGTAAAATACAAATGTAACAATGCCTAAAACATACATAAAAGAAATGCAAACAGTACATATTGATGCAACTTGAATCACAATCTGTCATGTATGGATGATTAATAATCGCTTATAGCATTTGACCCATTATTTGAATTTTCATTCTTATCAGGATCTTGGGTTTTTAAGCCATACAATGGCATTCCCATAAACCTTGGAAGCTGTCCTTTGCCAGGGTTTGAAGTTGTAACAGATCTTCTTTTCTTTAACGGTACATTAACAGTATCTTTCCCTTTGTACTTAAACAGGCCTTCTCCTGGTAGATCAGGTATACATTTAGGTACAGTGTACCATCCACGATATGTGACAAACCAAATGAATATTGCTATCACACCTGCTAGAAGTTTTTCAACCATATTATGGAAATACAACATAGTAAAAATGAGCATGAAGTCCCATAACATTGAAAAGCATGTCATAAGAATAAATAATCCTCTAACAAGAGGAGTAAACCGCTCATAGCAGGATTTTAAGACAATAAACTCAGTCTCAGATAAGTTTCCGAGGGGACTGGTATTGGCAACCGTTCTACTGTCATCTGAATTAGACCTTGTGTGATATTCCTCTCGAATCAAATCACGTATTCTCTCCCAGCCAACAATTGCCCTTGCTTCCTCTATCAATATTAAACTGCTATAAACTAATATGAAGGCATGACCAGAAATGTGGAAGCTGTACCAATACTGACCCTGGGATAAGCAGCTCTGTTTGGAGAAATCACCTTTGATACTACACTTGCCAAAATTGACCTCAATATAGTCAAAAAGCTTCGTCCAAAATAGCCATGAGCCTGTAGCAACACCAAGGCGTACCAAATGCTTCAAAACTTTATCTCGTTTCCCGCAGCAAATTGTGTAGCTTGTTAGTATGAGAAATGGGAACGTAACAATCATTGTCCAGCCCCAACCAAATTTAACAAAACACTGATTCAACAAATTGTCCGACCTGGAGAAATAACTTCTAGGTATTGGCGCTACGTCTCCAATCAAAGATACAAGAAAGAGGCAAGAGCAGTAAACTGCTACCCTCTTTATGGTGTCCACAAACACAATTTTTCTGCAAATATGCAACACCATCATGAGAAGGACATTCCCAATAGATGATTGTTCGGGAACCGGCTTTGTCCCTTTCGTGTCCTGCTTTGAGTTTTCTTGATTCATAGGTCTATAATTCAACTTAGAGCTTGCAGTATAGGTATGAATGGGCTTCCTTTTAGTCGCCATCGTTGCTGATGCAGATGTTATCCTTCTTGAAGATAGCCAACGTCGCCGCTGAAACCAACAAATGAACGAAGGGATGTTATATGGGGGGTTGATGTTTAATTCCCAAAAGACAAATTTGAGCAATATATTACCACGAATCATCCAAAATTAACGTTGTTTCAGTTGTTGAAGAGCAGGTACTGTGAGTGCATGATACAGCGTTAGCATAATCAGTCACCGCCTTTTAAGCCTCCTGGGAAAAATAGGTTCCTTTCGGGCAAGTCAAACTTTTTTTCTGCTTTGCCGCGTCGTCTGCGTGTGTCGTCAGTTCCATTGCCTCGTATCAAACGAGATAATTCCCAAAAGAAACAAAGCGTTAAAGTATCCATCGAGCACACTGCTCCAAAGCTTTGAAGACCGCGCCACATCTTCTTTAAGCATTCCATATTTTGTTCCGTGGAGCTTTATTTCAGATTAAAGCTGCATAATGTTGTGTTTTGACACCTCCCTTTGACACCAGGCTTCAGGCTTTCCTATAAGCAAACACTGCGTCCACACACATCACAACCATAAGGACCATGAATGGATATGGATAGTAAGTTATGTTATCATAGATATTTTTTTTCCCTACATTGTACGGCACTCTAGTTTTGTCTTCTAATCAACAAGATTTTTTTTGTGATACAAATATTTTTAATTGCAGTTCTAGTCAAGGAGTATCAGCAGAGCAATGGAACAATGGAAACAATTCATCAGCAATGTCCAAAATGGAGCACACATTCTGGGTCACAAAACAAAGCGTCTTTCGAAAACTAGGCAAGAAAGAGGATGAATGTATTGTGGCCTCTGATGCAGAGTTAGATGCAAAGCTAGAATTGTTCCGTTCTGTCCAAGATACCTGTTTGGAACTTCAACGAATCCTGGATAAATACCAGGAAAGACTATGCAGTAGGTTTCTTGCCGTAGTTTGGTCTATCATACATTTTTCACTCTTATTTATTGTGTTAATACTGTAACTTTTGCATTTATAGATTTATCTCAAGAGGAAAGTGCTATGGGGAGGTTTCTAAAAGAATGTTCCAAAAGAGATCAAACTAATGCAGGTAAAGCTATGATAAGTGTTGGAAGAGCTCTATCATATTCTGGCCAACAAAGATTAGCTTTACGTGTACCTCTTCAACGACTTCATCAGGTATGTCTTAGTCCTGGTTTATATTCCATCATCCCATTTAACGTTTATAATCTAAATGTTATTGTGCAGGAAGTGGAAACATTCAGACAACGTGCTATTGAAGATACTTTGCTAAATGTATCTGCCATGGAACGACAAAGAACTGAATACCGTGCAGCTCTGAGTTGGATGAAGAACATTTCCCAAGAGCTAGATCCTGATACTCACAAACAATTGGAGAAGTTTAAAAAGGTATACCTCATTGAGCTATTTCAGGAAAATTTCTGTACTTTTTAGTCATGACATATTTTATTGACCATCACTACTTCTTTCAAGGTTCAAGGACAAGTTCGGCAAAGCAAAGCTAATTTTGACCGCCAGAAATTGGACTGTCTACAGAAAGTAGATTTGTTGGCAGCTGCAAGGTGCAACATGTTTTCTCACGCGTTGACTCTCTATCAACAAGCTTTAATTCAACATGCTCGTCGGGCTCAACGAGCATTTGCTGCTGTGGCAAAGGATGTTAAAGGTAATTATAAGAGATTTGCTACCTCACCTTTACTTGTTAACACGTTCCCTGCGGCTCATTTTTTATGCCTATGATTTAACATGGGAGCGAGACCACATAGTGGTCATGCCGCAGGAAACATGTTAACTAGCTTTCTTTTACTTTGAAGACCAAAATTACATAGCTTATTTTATTTTTGAAATTTAGGTTATCAACATTATGAGTTTTCTGTGGTGCCTGAACTTACCGAAGAATCATCCCGTCTTGCAAAGCAAACTAGAGATGCAGATGAGAAGAATGTGGAGGGAAAAGAAAAAGATGGGTATGATTCAGAATTTATTTTACCTTTGTTGAATAATCAAATTTAATTCCTGTGTGAATTTTAGAAAACTTAATTTTTCTATGTTGTTTTTTTTCTTTTTTCAGACTTCTCTTTTTTGATACTGACTACCATGATGCAGTAGAAGGAGATAATGCATGTACTGGAAAACAAAAATCAGACAGTTTGCAAAATTTGTTGAGCAGTTCAGTTGAGCAAAATATGTCTTCACTCATCTCAATTGACCAAACTGATGCTGGTTCCAAATTGAAGGATGCAGGTGAGATAAAGTGTCAACGCTTTCCCAATTTTACTTCAAAATTAATTAGGGTCATGTACATTATTACTGCCTCTTTTTACATTACAATTAAATTGGTATGAACAATTATTTTCAGGAATGACAGATGTCGACCTCCTGGCTTCAGAATGTCTCCAAGAACTGGATGACATATTGGGTTTTTCTGCTCCTGATGGTAGTGCAAGTGTGTCTGAGGATTGGGACGCCTTGTTTAGAAGAAGTGAGATAAGCTCATCAGAAAACAACTTCCCGTCCCAAAATTCCTCAATATCAGGCTTGACAGAGAAAGCTACACCCTCTTCTTTAAGTGCAGAAAATGTCTTTCCATCTCAGCTCTTGGACAACTTTGCATCATCTTTGAAACTTCAAACATCATTGACAGAAACATCAACCAGCCAAGGTAACTGCCATACACACAAAATTCACATTGCTGCTCTATAATTTATTTAACATTATATATAATTGTATTAGAATTTTATATAATTAATATAACTATGTACATTTTCTTTAGCAGGCAGTGCTCTTGCAAAACATTCCCATTCATCTAATACTACAAATCCTTCTGCTTCATCTGAGCTCACATTCATGTCTAGTTTAATGGCAAACTTGAGACCACAAAACAGCCAAGCAACTTCTCAGGCACCAGGTCCACCAGGAACACCTCAATCACCCCAATCAGCAGGCAATGGGGTAAACATTGTTCTACCATTTCAGTTTATACTGGTGAAGGTAATATTCTGTTGCAAAATAACAAAATGTGTTGTATTTCTTTTAGATGCCCAGTAAGTCCACAAACAAGAAAGATATGTCTGCCTGGTATGATCTCTTTGCTGACTTGGATCCATTAGCAAACCCTGATGCCATTGATTCCAAAATGCTGGAGGAGGAGCGAAACTGTTAGGAACATAATACTTCCTGCAGCGGTTGTTCCTGTTAAAAATATCATAAAACAAGTTCTGAAGATGAAATTACTATTTTTGGAAAATTCTTGATGTAACTTTATGAAATGATGTGGGAATTTTTTTTAATGCAATTTAAATTGCAAATATTCTTTGATGTTTGCTATGACCATATTTAGATAATTCTTGATGCTTTACTGCAAATTATTGTTATACATGTGGCATTTTATATTTGCTTTCTGCATACATATTTTTAATACAGGGGTGTTCCTCAGAAAGAATCTTTACTTAATCTAGTCTGGAGGTTTATTCTCTCAATCTTTTTAAGAACCGACTACGTTACATAACAAGTGGAGGTAGGAGACCTGGTACGACCACTTTGTTAATCTGTAACCTGAATGAGTTTTGTTTTTATGTTAAGTATATTATTTTGTTGACGATTTGTTTCACATTTTGCATAAAGGGCAATGGACCCAATATATCAAATGTAGTTTATCACCACTTACTTAATATCATGCAAATTGGTAACCTCATAAAATT